GGAAATTTGAAACTTTCCTTCAAAGGTTCGGATTCAGTAAAAAACAACAGGCAGAGGTGTAGGTTAAATCACATACACTGTGTTATATTATGCTTAAGCAAAACAGAACAATACTACCGGGTGGATGTCCACTCTTAATCAAAGGAGTTTAGGGAGTTCTGCTTCATCCCACTTAACCTCCTGCTCGTCCACAAGGCCACAAAGAACATCTTAGAGCATGTGATGCTTTCTGCCAAAGCTACACTTAACCCTATGCCTGCCATAAGCGTTTTACTATATTCTAACACACTGTCCTCCTGTGACATTGTGAATTGGGACATTGCTGTGTAGCAAATGTGTCTGCATCATTTCAGAGGTGGTGGTGTTGAACAGAGTTGAGATATAATTTGTATTCGTTTACAATGCACTTGGAAAATTATTCTCCCTTAGAGTGGTGATCAGACGACCTCATCAGTTGTGAGCCTGGCTCAGTTGGTAGCACTCTTGTCTCACAGTTAGACAAGCGGTGTGGGTTCAAGCCCCGAGTTAGGAGATTGACCTCACTTAAAATTTCTAAGCTGACACTCCAATGTAGTGCTGGGAGTGATAAATTGTCAGTGGTGCCGACCCCACAGATGATGTCAAAATGAAAATAAAGGAATATTGTATTCAGGTCCCTGCACTCCTCTGCACCATCCTACCTCTCTGACCTCTCTCCTCAAAACAGTACCCGTTGCCTTCGTTCATCCGGGTCTGGTCTCCTCGTTTCCCCGAGTCCTCCGCTCCACCCTCGGCGGCCGTGCCTTCAGCCCCAATTTTCCCCCTAGGCTCTGGAGCTCCCTTCCTCACTCCCTTCGCCTCGCTCCCTCCATTCCTATTTTCAGGTCTCTGCTGAAGACCTTTCTTTTCGACCGCGCCTTTGGTCACCTTCCTCCCCCTAGCTCGGTCCCAGGATCCGTTGCTGTGAAGCGCTCTGAGATACCGTCCGGCGTGGAGGGCACTATATAAATCCAAGTTGTTGTTCTTCTTGAATAAGAGAAGGAAATTTCTCCCAGTGTCATCACCAAGAATAATAATTGCCAAGAGCTCACGTAAAATGGGTTATTCATTTAATGTCTTTGGGGGATATTGCTGTGTAAATTTGCTACTACAAATACACAGTCACTACATTCTGCAGAAATCCTGTCAAGCACTTTGAGATGTGATAAGGTGCTATATCCAAGGCAAGGATGAAAACTGATGTCAACATATACGACTTAAATGACCTGATTTGTAACTTTGGAGTAAAACAATTTCACAAAATCCAATTTTTTTTCTCCCAACCCAAACCATAATGCAGTTAGTTTTATAAAATGGAAAACAGATGGAATCAAGTTTATTGAATGCAGCTCCAACAAAGGAACCGACAGGGACAGAAAAAGCAATCACTTACAGTAATGTGTCAGAAGGTTCTCCATGGAGCAGTGCTGTCAACAGTAAGACACAGTAAAACCTTGCCACGGCTTGCCTATAACAATCAGATGAAAATGGTTGTTCGAAATTCTTCATGTGTGACCAGAAACATTTTTTATATCTTATCACGTTATTACAATGTGCATACATAAGTGAGAAAGTCCAGTGCTCCCTCGGGAGACGGTTGAAGCAGGAAGTGTTGATTCTTTCAGATTAGATTGTTTTCTTTTAGGAAATAACATTATGGAATACAGTACATAGGTAGTTCGGGACATATGTGCATGCGACCACCAGGAAGATAGAAGGCGAACAAGATGGAGCTTGGTCTTTTTTCATCTAGCATTCCTCATGTTCTATTCTTGCGCCACAAATTCAGCTGATCATCAAATGATTTTTTGCTTCCATTTCTGCATCCAGACAGACCATTTGGTTTCACAACCCGGCACAGGTGCGATGGCCTCCTTCTGTTGCTGTAATTCAGGGTAGGGTAAACACACACAAATATCCTTCAGCTACCTTGTCCTCCCTTCCCTCCCGGTCTCTGGCACCTAAGCCATGACCGCCATGGCTTCCTAAAGTGAAGTGCCCAGAATTTCCCCCCAAAAATTGAAAGAATAATAATTTGGACACTCAATACTTGACTGTTTGTGGCATACTGCTATGTGCAATTGGCTGCCACGTTTCGCCCACAAAATATTGTCAATTAACAACAACAACATTACATTTATTATAGCGCCTTTCACATCTGGAGGATGTCCCAAGGAAGACAGACAGTTTCAGACATGAGCTGGGGGTCTGGGTCGGGGAGCTTGGTGGGCGGGGGGGGGGAGGCTGGGAGATCGAAAGCACAGTCGAAGAGATGGGTCTTGAAGGTGGCGAGGAAGGGGGCGAGACGGAGGGACTGTGGGATGGAGTTCCAGAGGATGGGGTCAGAATGGCGGAAGACCTGCCCGCCAATAGTAGGGCGAGCGAGGCAGGGACATGAAGCAGAGGATGGGGGCAGAGTGGCGGAAGGCCCGCAGAGGATGGTAGGGGGTTAGGAAGTCGCAGATGTAGGGGAGAGGCAAGACCAAGGAAGGCTTTGAAGGTGAGGACCAAGATCTTGAACTGTATCCTCTGTGTGATGGGAACCCAGTGAAGACAGACAAGGATGGGGGTGATAGGGTCAAAGAGCCTAGTGCGGAAGGCTGCAGAGTTCTGGATGATCTGCAGCCTATGGAGGGGGGAGTTGGCGAGGCCAAGCAATGAGTTTGCATTGTCAAGCCTTGATGTAATTGCGGGCATTGTCGAAAACAAAACTGTGCAAAACAGAAAAAGAGTGTTTAGTGGTACTTTTTGAGTGTTAAGAGACTCAAACAATATGCGTTTAGGAAAATGATAACAGTACAGAATGATCACAATCCATCAAAGCAATTTTTTTAAAAGTGCTTTACCAAACTCCTCCGAGATTACAAAGAATGAATATATGGCTGCAGAAATATGAACTAGAATTTAAGTATAAACAGGGGAGAAACCTTGTATGTAGCAGTTACACTGAGCGGAACAAAAAGGAATAATATATCGAGAGGAGAGAATAGTAATGCCAAAGAGATTAAGAGAGAAATTTATGAAGAAGATACACGAGGGACACTGGGGAAGGGAAAGAGCCAAGCAAAGAGCTAGAGAAATAGTATTCTGTCCCGGCATAAATAGACAAGTAGAAGATTACATTGGTAAATACGACACGTGGGCCAGATATCAAGAAAAGAGGAGGCACAAGCCTATCAATTGGCACAAGAAACCGCAGCAAGCTTGGACAAAAGTAGGAACACACTTGTTTTACTACAAAGAAAAGAACTATCTCTTAGTCGTGGATTAAACTTTCTGTTATTTTGAGAATGCTAAACTATCGGACACGACTGCAGAAATGGTAGTACACAAAACACAGAAGATTTTTGCAAGGTACGGAATACCAGAAATAGTGATAAGTGACAATGAACTCCAATTTGTAAATGAAGAATATAGGAAATTTACAAAGGGTTGGGGAATTGAGCGCGCAACAGCATCCCCCGGATATCCATGGAACAATGGGATGGTGCAGAGAACCGTCCAAACAATCAAGAAAATGTTGAAGAAAGCAGAAAACGGAGAAAAAAAGAACACTTGGCGATTTTAACATACAGAAATACACCATTAGAGACAAATGAAAGATCACCGGCACAAATGTGAATGTCAAGACGATTAAGGGCCAGATTAATATGGGAGAAAACATTAAAAGTGCAACTGCGAAGAAAGAATAGAAATGCAAAAGAGAAGGGAGAAGGAAATAAGAAAAGCTTCAAAATAAAGGAGGTGTAATCCAGAAAGAAGAATATCGGAATAGAGGGGTGGACAAAATGGACAAAAGGGAAACCAGTTAAAAAACAAGATCATAATGGATAGAAGACAATAAAGGAAACCGACACAGAAGAACATCATGAGAGACGAGAAAAAGAGCCATGGAGGACAAAAAGGATGAACAACAAGAGATGACCAAAATGTTGCAGAGGAAAGAGAGACAAAGTGGACATGATCGGGACAGGACGACCAGCAACATTAATAGAAGGTTAAAGAAAAACTGAAGAAAAGAAGTTGTGGGATACTCCTTTACGAGTAAATTGACAATGAAAACAAAAGGATCATAAGAAGCATTTTGGCACTGTTAAGCACTCCAAGATGCTGCTCCATGTGAAGGGCGCTATAGAAATGCAAGTTGTTGTTATTGTATACCTCGATATGGCATCCAATTCTCCTGTTCCCAAATTCATTTTGCTGCTTTAAGGTCAGTAATCAGAGTTCCGTTCTTATACTTGTTTCTAGGTTCCTCTATTCACTTCCTGTTCTGTTTCATTAGCTGTTCTCCAATTGTCCACTCCTCTTAAAAGTTTGTCTAACACTGCGTCAGTGAAATGGATGGCAAAGGTACAAAAGGGGCGATGATGAGGTTCGTTTTTACAGTTTTTAGGATGTGCAGTTGTTGGAAATTTGAAACTTTTGAAAAAGCAGACAGACAGTTTCGGACATGAGCTGGGGGTCTGGGTCGGGGAGCTTGGTGGGCGGGGGGTGGGGGAGGCTGGGAGATCGAAAGTACAGTCGAAGAGGTGGGTCTTGAAGGTGGCGAGGAAGGGGGCGAGACGGAAGGACTGTGGGATGGAGTTCCAGAGTATGGGGTCAGAGTGGCGGAAGGCCCGCTGAGTGGAGGGAGCGAACAGGATGTCAGGGGGTTAGGAAGTCGCAGAGGTAGGACAGTTACTGAAATCCCATTCAATGAGGAATGTCTTGAGATGGGTCTTGAAAGAAGCAAGGGAGGGAGCGAGGTGAAGGGACCAAAGGGCGGGTGCTAAAAACCTGAAGGCCCAGCACTGATGGTGGGGATTTTTCCATCTTTTTTCCATGATTAGATGATAGCGTATTTACATTTACCAATTCCCCCCATGGTCAATCTTCACCCCCGATTTCTATTCCCCCCCACCATATGGTGAGTTCCCAACCACAACCAGGGAAGAGATTAGAGATTAGATTCACACAGAAATAAAACAATAAAAACTACCTGCGCATCAATATCTTTTACTGTTAATAACCAGCGTACATTGACAAACAGCAGTCCTATGTATAAAATACCATTCAAATGACTTCTCAAAGTTATTCAAAGTTAATGCAGTTGAAGCCGACCCAGCAACTTCACAAGGGCACAATAGCTGAAGCAAGGTCACTGACATGGGAGGGGTTGGGGGTAGACAGACAATGTTTCATTATTCTCCACTCTCTCACAGCATCTTTTCACAGTGCCTGTCAGTCAGAAATGATGCCCTCTCCCATTTTGATCGCTGCAAGATAGAAGACACCAAAGCAGAGCGAGGGGCAAGGTCAGAAGTTTACATTATATGGACAGAGGTGAACTCTGCGCCAATAATTCCACATTCACCACCGATTTGTCTTGAAAGCAAAAGATGGGAAACACTGCGTGATGTCACTGCTGAATGGCCGAAACCGGACCCACGTTAAAACTCGAAGAGGAAAGTGTAGAACTGAACCGGTTTAAACTCCTCTGACGAGACATTTCTCAATTCGTGCCTATGTGGTGTAGAATCGCCATACGCTAACACTCCACCCCGTAAGCAAACCAAACCACACGGTCCAAGATAACTGGGCCTCAGAGAGAGCTGGTGAGAGTCAAGTGACCCACACATCCACTCACTCTTCATTGGAGCCTCATTCGCTTCTCAGGAGGAGCCTTGACGGTTGAACTCTGCTGCGAGCTCTTTGTTGTGTCTTTTTCTTCCTGTTTAACAGTTTCAGCTATTGGTTCTGGTTCCTTCTTTATCTGTTCCACTGGAGGGAGGGAGGGAGGGAGGGAGGGAGGGAAGTGGTAAAGAAGAGGGAACAAATTAACAACAACAAAATTACATTTATAGAGCGCCTTTCACGTCGGGAAGACTCCCAAAGTGCTGAACAGTCAGGTGTTGGGGCCCGAGCATGGGGGAGGGGTGGTGTAGGGATGAGGGAAGGCAGAGAGGTGGGAGGGCGACCAAAGGCACGATCAGAGAGAAGGGTCTTGACACCAGCCTTAAAGGAGACAAGGTAGGGAGCGAGGCGAAGGACTGTGGGATGGAGTTCCAGAGTGTGGGGGCAGAGAGGCTGAAACAATTGGAAAATGCTGCTATGAGTGCAACCTGGTAAAATTTAATAAGTCAAGTTTGTGAAATAGGAAATGCTCACCTGGTACAGGCTTCTCGCCACGTTTGGGCTGAAAATAAAATGAAAGTCAATGTGTGAAATGGTCACAGACAAAGGTAACAGAGTCAAAGCACTCATGTGGGTCATTCCTGCAGCTTCAGGGATAATGTGTTGGATTCCTGATAAAATGTGAACTTAAGACTCAGTTGTCAGCCACTTGCAGACTAATGGCGGGTGGGGGGGGTAGAGAACTGCACTGATCTGCTCCCTCAGTCACGGACGGAAATGTGGTGAAGGGAGGGCAGAAGAAATAAATATAATAATCCTTGTATTTGATATGTGCCTCATCATGTCGTTCAAACGTCTCAAAGCGATTTACAGAATATACAACAACAACAACAAGATTGCATTTATAGAGAGCTTTTCACGTTGGGAGGACGTCCCAAGGCGCTGTACAGTTGGGTCAGGACCCGAGCAAGGGGGAAATGGTCGAGGGGAGGGAAGGGAGGGAGCGAGGAGGGGGTAGAGAGTCGAGAGGGGAGCTGAAGGCTCGGTCAAAGAGAAAGGTCTTGAGACCGGCCTTGAAGGAGGAAAGGGAGGAAGCAAGGCGAAGGCACTGGGGGATGGAGTTCCAGAGCCTAGGGTCTGAGAGGCTGAAGGCCCAGCCACCGATGGTAGGGCGGTTGGGGCGGGGGATGTGGAGCAGACCGGAGCCAGAGGAACGGAGAGTATGGGCAGGTAGGTAGGGGGATAGTAGGTCGGAGAGGTAGGAGAGTGCAAGACCGTGAATGGCCTTGTGGGTGAGGATGAGGATCTTGAATTCGATCCTCTGGGGGATGGGGAGCCAGTAGAGGCGAGCGAGGGTGGGAGTGATGTGTTCCCGAAGCCTGGTGCGGGACAGTACACGAGCTGCAGAGTTCTGAATGACCTGCAGCTTGTGGAGGGAGGTGCCGGGAGGGCCGGCGAGGAGAGAGTTCCCATAGTCCAGCCTTGAGGTGATAAAGGCGTGGCCCAGGGTGTCAGCAGCGTGAGGGGTGAGGTAGTGCCGTAGTCTGGCGATGTTCCGGAGGTGATGGAAGGCAGTGCCAGTTGTGGCGCGGATATGAGGGAGAAAGGACAGCTCAGGGTCGAACAGAACACCGAGGTTCCGGACTGGCTTTGAGAGGTATATATACTGTAAATATACTGTAAAGTGAATTGACTGAATATTTTGTGGACAAAACACAGCAGCCAATTGCACACAGCAGCATCCCACAACCAGTCATGGATTGAGTGACCAAATAATATTTTTTTGGGAAGGATTATTACCCCAGGAAAAGCGATCTGCCAATCGACTACCAACTGGGCTCTACTACTAAATGAACAGAAGTGTGTGGAATAAGAAAATTTGCCTAAGGTTTTGCCCCACCCAGGAATCAAACCTGGGTCTTCTCACTTTTGAGGTGAGTGCTCTAACCAATACACTGCAGGACTCTATGACTTCCAAACTACAAAGGAAAATAAGGCCAAAAGCCTAACATTTTCTAACAGACTTAGAATATAATACAGTTTACATTTCTATAGCACACTTTCACGTTGGGAGGACTCACCTGAATGAACTTGGGTTGGAATTTTTGCCGCAGATCCAACAGCAACATGTCTACTCTCTGTCGCTGGAATAAAGAACTTGGTTCCTCTTTCTTCTTTGATTTTGGTTTTACTTTATCTGGGGGTAGGGGACAACGGGGGGGGGGGGGGGGAGAAAGAAAGGAGATGGTTGAGAAGAAAGTAGAAATAACATTTGACCTATGTTAAAAAAAATCACAACACTGATATTTTTTAATGTAGATAGACTGGAAAGGTTAGGCCTTTTTGCGCTAGAGAAAGATCGTTTAAGAGGGGACCCCACAGAGGCTTTTAAAATGATAAAAGGGTTCGATAAGGTTAGCATTATTTGGCTGTTCCCATTTGTTGGGGAGTCCCATAACCAGGAGACAAGTGTATGATAGCAATTAGGGGATCTAAGAGAATTTAAGAGCAACTACTTCAGGCAGAAGACAGTGAGAATGTGTAACACACTGCTTGAAGCAGTAATTGAATCAAACAGTATAAGTGCATTTATGAGAAAGCTAGTTTATACCTGTGAAGGAGAAGAGAAGGGTCTGGAGGGAGTAAGAAGTGGGTGGAAACTTCTGCGCAGTATAAATGGCTCACCTGTTTCCGTGCTATAGGTTTTATGGAGATCTATGTAAATATCGAAACCAGCAAATTTTATTTTGAAAATGTGAGCGGGAATCAAACCCAGGGCATTCCACGTGACGCACTAACCCAGTGAGCGATCATCTGGTTTACAACTAGCATCTTGGTAAATCGTGCAGTGAAACAGACATCAGTTACTTAAAAATAAATCTAAGCTCCCATTTAAGATCGAGTGAGTTATAAAGATTTATCTAATTTCCCAGTTTGAATACAAATCTCAACAAAGCGTCAGATGCAGAACTCAAATGCACTCACTGGTATACAACTTACCTCTTTCCTCTTGATCTTTGAAGTGCCACCAGTAGCCTTTGGAAGGGTGGTACCGGCAGTAAGACATTGATTCATCAAACGCAGACTGAATCGCATGCACTGCTGTAAGCTGTTTCGGGGAGAACAAAATAAAAAGTTACAATGAGCTACAAATTCTACCTGGATTGAGATTTACTCAATTATTATTAGCTTTTCTGAGCATCCAGAGTTTGTCAAATTCTTAAATATAGCTTTAATTCTGAGTTTGTTCTTTTAAGAAACTATGAAAACTATCTTCAAAGGTAAAATACAATTCAATAATTTGCTCTCGGATTTGCTGCGATAATAGAATAAATTTAGATCCAGGTGGAATTTTACCCCACACATCTCTAACACCCCAATGTAAAAATATAATTAATTCCCTCAATCCCCAACCGTGGAACACTGCTGTGAGCAAATTGGTTGCCGTGTTTTTGCCCAAAAAATACACAGTAAAAATTGTGAAGCACTTTGAGACGTCTCAATGACTTGATAAGGCGCTATATCAAATGCAAGGATTATTATAATTATTGCTATTATTAGAAAATAGTGTTGCTCACCATTCTGGAGTTTATCACTGAACCCAGGTCAGGAGCCTGATAAACCACTCCAGCAATGATGTAGTAATCAGCAAGTGGAGTAACTGGAAGAGATTCACAATCGGAACACAAGCAAATTACTCACTGGAGAACTTTAAAATGAATAAAAGTCAAGAGTTTTCTCACGCAGGGTTTCTCATACTTTTAGGTCAATGTGATGGTGAGAATAGTTAACAATCCTTGAATTTCAGCTCACGGATATCAAACTGGAACATTCAACTCTTATTCCCCACCAAACTGGGGTTTTGAATTAAGAGTTGTGGAGGCCGTGGTCTGTGTGTGTGGAAGTAAAAAGGTGACTGAAGGCGCGGTCGAAGGTAACTCGCTCGTTTACTCACTCAAAACTACAATCCCATGATTTTAACAAAGTTAGCAAACTATTATAGCGAGGAACACAACAAGCTCTTACCTTGTATGGCCGAGTACCGGTGCTGTTTTCGAATGATATAAAGTATGGGCTCCTGAGCATGCAGTAGTATGTATTCTAAGCCGGTCATATTGCTGTGTGAAAAGCAAAGACAAGGGTTCACTTGGACAGTTTCAGCAGCTACCCTCCCTCACTCAGATATGAATTTTCATTCCATACAGAGATCAAAGCTATCCAGCCCAGAATCAATGTAAAATCCATGACTGTTTGTGGGACACTGCTGTGTACAATTGGCTGCCGCGTTTCACTCACAAAATATACAGTCAATTCACTTTACAGTACTTTCTGTGAAGCACTTTGAGACATCTCGAAGACGTGATAAGGCGCAATATCAAATGCAAGGATTATTATAGGATTATTATTAAAAACGTGGACAGAAACCAACGAGATGGAGCATTTGTTCAACTTCTCAGAGGTTCATGAAACCCAAAGTAGCTTCAAGTTGTGTGATCTGGAGGGCTTTTATGCTAACCAAAATCTGCATTTTTTTATTAAAAATAGCTTAACCTCCCCAAATAATACTGCAATTAAGCTCCTACCCCCACCCACGCACAAACTGCATTAAAATGAGATGTGCTCAATATTTCACTCAATTTAAAATCGGTTGCCTAGCCAAGATTGTTAAGCCACTTAGAACATCTCCTGACATGAAAGCACTATGTAGATTTGTACTGTATTGTTATATACATTCATAGAAAGTACAGCTCAGAAAAGGATATTTTGGCCCATCCAAACCAGCTGACGCTTATACTTCACACAAGTGCCCACCCTGGATCCTATTCCTAGTCCGTATCTTGACCTTTTCCCCATATGCCTCAGCTTTATTCTTCCTAAACCATGTGTCCAGTCTTCTTATGAATGTGTACAGGTTGCCGCCACAATAATTAACTGTAAAATCAAATTCCACACTTGCACCATACTGTGATATAATCAAATACAGGCAGCTATTATGACAAAGGCCCTCCACCAACACACGGTGCAAAATTGAGGCCTTCAACCTCACATCAGGAAAACAGAAGTCATTTTTAACTGTGGCTAAAAGGCAAAAGGCATTTTAAATTTAAACAGCGTGGCTCTGGTCTCCAATTCTATACAGGGTAGTGGAGGGATTGGGAAAGAGAAATCAAAAGGTTCAGGGGCTAGCGGCCGCCGATGGTGAAGTTGAGGGTACGAGGGACAAACAGGAGGCTAGAGACAGCCGAGCAAACATATCAAAATAGGATTGACATGGATTGTTAGCGGCAAACACAGGTTTGGGGAGTGTTCCAGCATCATATGCGGATTATTGAACATCACCCACTGCAAATGGTCCAGACTCAGCCGCTGCATTTTCACCACCTCATTGTTGCAGGTGCGATCGTAGAAAGGATTGCTTCGTTCAGAGAAATAATCCAGCACATTCACAGGGTTTAGGATAGGAATCCAGGCGCTGTCGACCCAGGAGATTCCCAACAGGTTATCTAGAAAATGAGCGAGAGTGCGGTATAAACACGAGGAGCTCACTGACCAGAGCAATTAGGACGGTTAAAGGGCTAAAGGAGGAAGAAGAGGGGGAAACGGAGCTCGAACAATGTGCTGACATCAACACAGGGCAGAGAAACTATTAATAAATACAACTTGCAGAAGGATTTAGGGCCCTGGAGAGGAGGGGGGGGGGAGGGGGGGGGAGAGGAGGAGGGGGGAGAGGGGGGGAGGGGAGGGGGGGAGGGAGAGGGGGAGAGGAGGGGGGAGAGGGAGGGGGGAGAGGGGGAAGGGGGGAGGGGGGGGGGGAGAGGAGGAGAGGGGGAGAGGGGGGGAGAGGGGAGGGGGAGGAGAGGGGGAGAGGGGGAGAGGGGGGAGGGGGAGGGAGGGGGGGAGAGGAGGGAGGAGGGAGAGGGGGGGAGAGGGGAGGGGGGAGAGAGGGGAGAGGAGGGGGGAGAGAGGGGGAAGGGGGGAGGGAGGGGGGGGAGAGGAGGGAGGAGGGAGAGGGGGGGAGGGGAGGGGGGAGAGAGGGGGAGGGGGGGAGGGGAGGGGGGGAGGGGAGAGGGGAGAGGGGGGAGAGGAGAGGGGGCGCGGGTAGAGGGGGTGGCGGGGGAGGGGAGAGGGGGCGCGGGGGAGAGGGGGGGAGAGGGACAGGGGCCGCGCTCCTCACCGCGGTTCTCAGCCGCTGCTACCGCCGCCGCCGCCGCCGCCATGTTACTGGCGCAGAGTGATGGCGTCATCAGCGGCGCAGCCAGATGAGGACGCCGCCCTCCAAGCCCCGCCCCTCCTGTCAATCACTATCACCTTCGCTGCAGGTAGAGCGTCCCCTGGCGGACAGAAAGGTCCTGGTTCACCTGCAGCACACACTGCACTGCACTGTACTGCACAGCCTGTCAACTGCTTTGAGACATCTCGATGACATAATAAAGCTCTCTATGATAATAATAATGATGATAATGATGATAATAATAATAATCCTATTGGCTGCCGCATTTCCCCACAAAATACACAGTCACTCCACTTTACAGGTTGTGAGTCCTGGAGCTCAGTGGTTAGAGCACTCGCTTTGCAAGCGAGAGACCCGACTCCATTGGAGCAGCATGTTTCGTTGGTACTGTAATAATAATAATCCTTGCATTTGATATAGCGCCTTATCACGTCGTTGAGACGTCGCTAAGTGCTTCACTGAATATACTGTAAAGTAAGTTGAGATGTATATTTTGTGGGTGAACACAGCAGCCAATTGCTCATAGTATTGGCCCACAAACTCTCTTCCGGTGTCCTGACTAACAATCCCCCACATAAAATTGGTCACTCACTCCATGGCTGCTTGTGGGGCATCGCTGTGCGCAATTGGGCTCCCGCATTTCGCCCACAAAATATATAGTCAATCCGCTTTACAGTGTGAAGCGCTTTGAGAAGTCTTGACGATGTGATAAGGCGCTATATCGAATTATTAAGAGGAAGACTGTCTGACCGGGATAGAAGTTCAGTGATGGGATGATGTAGGTTTACATAATAATTGTTAACAATCTCTGCATTTGATACAACAACTTGCGTTTATATAGTGTCCCTTGCACAGGGTAGCGTCCCAGAGCGCTTGACAATGGTGGAGCATGACACAAAGCCGTTGGGAGCGGGAGGTGACCGTAGGCACGGTAGAAGAAGAAGGTTTTCAGATGCAACCTGACAATGGGGAAGGAAGGGACAAGGCGGAGGGGTAGAGAAAGAGTGTTCCAGAGCTTTGGGGCGTAATGGCTGAGAGATACAGTAACTTTAATGTCAGGAGGACGTCTCAAAAAGCTTCACAGGATTCACTGAAAAGTGTAGTGACTGCTTATTTCATTAGGCAAACACGTCAGCCAATTTGGGGCTCGATTTACCCTCTAGTTTGGATTTACCCTCTACCCTGAAGAGTAACTTGTTATTTATTACAGCATCTTATCACGTCAAAACATCTCAAAGAACTTCACTGGCTGCTAGTGACTGTTTTTGTATGCAACCCAAAAGGTCTCACTCAACGACCACGAGCTGAAGGTCCATGTAATCTGGAGGGTTGTTGGCCAGGTCTGCAGTGGGGGCTGGTATGACAGTCAATCAAATGGCTGTTTAATGAAGTAACAATCTTACCTCAGTGTTGGTGGGAAAGCACGTCAGCACACATACAGGGTCTGCATGAACAGTTTAAATTAATTTCTACCAATTATTCACCATTAATGGGAAAGGTAATTAGTGGAATTTTAATTCCAAGGGAAAGCCGGAGAGTTCAGTGCAAGGGCTGGTGCCAATTATCTGCTTAAACGATTTCTGGCTGAGACCTCAAATTGAATTCTATCTGCTTTATATAGCGCGGTGGGTGTGACGAGCCCTGTCAAACATGAACTGTGCAGCTGACTCCCTCCTTATAACAAGGCCGCTTGGGTCTGTTACATCTGGGCTGTTAGGGTCTACGATGTGAGACCTTTGTTATAACTGACGGTTTGGGTCTGGGATATGAGATCCCCAGTTATAATGGGGACATTGAGGATTGAGGTCTGTAATATGCCATCCCCCCTCTACCCCCCCCCCCCCCCCCCCACACCCCCCCACCCACACACACACATTGTAATAAGGTTTTGGGGCAAGTTTCCTTACTCCACATGTCTCTGTTTTCCTAGCAGTAAGTAGGAATTTGTCAGTCGATTGGTGGATCACTTTCCGGGTGTAAAAATCCCTTCAAAAAAAATAATAGTCATTTGGTCACTCGATCCACAACTGTTTGTGACACACTGCTGTGCGCAATTGGCTGCTGCGTTTCGCCCACAAAATATACAGTGAATTCACTTTACAGTATATTTTTTAAAATCTATCAAAATGCAAGGATTATTATTATTATTATAAAAGACATTTCCTTTGGCTGGTTCCCGTGCAAAACTGACGAAATTCCCAGGAAGTACGTGGAGACCTGTAGCTCAGTGGTTAGAGCACTCGCTTTGCAAGCGAGAGACCTGAGTTCAATTCCAGGCAGAGGGCGAAACCTCGGGCAAGTTTCCTTACTCCACACAGAGCCTAATAATAATCCCTCCAAAAAACCCAAAACAATAATAAAATTGGTCATTTTCAATCCACCGACTGTTTGTGGGACATTGCTGTGCGCAATTGGCTGCCGCGTTCGCCCACAAATATACAGTCAATTCACTTTACAGTGTGTTCTGTGAAGCGCTTTGGGACGTCCTCCTGACGTGAAAAGTGCTATATCAAATGCAAGGATTATTATTATTATTATTACAGTATGCCCTGTGAAGCGCTTTGAGACGTCTCAACAACAATGTGATAATCGAATGCAAGAATTATTCCCGATCGTGTTGTGTGACGCAGGCATCTGTCAGGCTAGACCTGAAAGTTCACGAGAGACCCCCTGGTGCTGTGAAAGTGCCATGGTTGCAATGTGCTGCAGATTCGTGTTGCACTACCTGATGTGCTATATGTTTACTGCACCCCTTACTGGCTGCTGTCTGCCATAACATGACCCACACAGCCAATTTTATACACATCAGCCTGCAGGACGGCACTCAGGATTCCATAAGAATAACCTCATCAAGTTGAATGGTCTCAGAGCACTTTACAGCAATTACTGTTAAGTGCAGTGATTGGGTATTTGTAGGCGAACACTGCAGCCAATTTGTGCACAGCAATTTCCCTCAAACAGCCAGGCAGTGAAAGATCAATTTTATCTGGAGGATTGTTGGTCAGGGGAATGGGAAAATCTCCCTTCTCTTTTAAGATTGTGCCATGGGTTATTTAACGTTGATGTGATGAACAGCTACATGGGACCTTGGCCGAAAGACAAGACCTCTGGCAATGCAGAGTTTCCCCCAGTAATGTAATGTATTGGAGTATCAGCCTAGACCGTCCTGCTCAAAGTCACAGGAAATGGTCTGACACTGTGTCGATTCAATAGTTTCTGTTCTGGATCCAGACAATGAGCTTCTATCTCCTGTTATAACTTGACTAAATCAAGATGAAGCTGAAAGAGATCTAGGTTTGTTAAGAATAATAATAATCCTTGCATTTAATATAGCGTCTTATCACATCTTCGAGACGTCTCAAAGTGCTTCACAGAATATACCATGAAGTGAGTTGACCGTACATTTCGTGGGTGAAACGCGGCAGCCAATTCCACACAGCAGTATCCCACAAACAGTCGTGGATTGAGTGACCAAATTTTTTTTAATTGACTGCTCACTCATATCAAAACAGTGAGGCAGCAATAAATAAGGCAAACAGGATGCTGGACTACATTCCCAAATCAGTTGAGTTCAGATCCACAGACGTCATACTCAAGCTATATACTTCTCTAATCAGATTAGAGTACTGCATTCTAATCCCAATCCCTAGTTCGGGTGCAAATCCTTGACTGTCCAGCACCTTGGGATGTTCCAGTCCTTAATTACCTTCTGAGTAAAGAAATCCTTCCCAGTGTCTATCCAGCAATTGTCCTTGAAAGGCGCTATACAAATATAATTTGTTGTTGTTGCAAACAGTTCTGGTCACCACGACAGAAGGATAGTGCTGAGGAAAGCAACGAGGATGATCCCCAGTCTTAGAGAAAAGAGTTATGAGCAACGATTAGACAAGCTAGGGATTTTAACTCTGAGACATCTCAGAGTGGATCATACTAGAAATACTAGCAAAGGTCAATTTCCGGATAGACGTAAGGAAATATGCTTTTATCCAGCAGGCGAGCCTTCAGCCTCTCTGGAACACCAGCCCACAGTCTCTACGCCTCACCCCCTCCCTTGCCTCCTTCAAGAACCGTCTCAAGACCATCATCCTTTCGATTGTGCCTTCGGTCACCCTCATGCCCTCCACCCCTCCTGACCCCAACCACCAGCTCGGGTGGGGATCCCCGACTGTCCTTGGGACGTCCTCCTGACATGAAAGGTCTATACAAATGTAATTTCTTGTTGTTGTTGCCAGGAAGGTGGTTGAGGCTAGGGACTCATTTAATAAGTAGCTTGATACTGTGATGGGAGTACGGTAAGGTGGGTGTTCTAGAAGAATAAGATAGGATGGGCCGAAGGGTCTCCTTCATCTAAGCTGATCTTGTGATCTTATAAACAGCAAACAGTGGCAAGAGCTGGAATTCTAACCTGTAGCTGTGTGGGTCATGTTATGGCAGACAGCAGCCAGTAAGGGGTGCAGTAAACATATAGCACATCAGGTAGTGCAACACGAATCTGCAGCACATTGCAACCTGAATAATAATAGTAAAAATAGTAATAATCCTTGCATTTGATATAACGCCTTATCACGTCTTCAAGACGTCTCAAAGCGCTTCACAGACTATACTGTAAAGTGAATCGACTGTGAATTGGCTGCCGCGTTTCTCCCACAAATATACAGTCAATTCACTTTACAGTCTATTCTGTGAAGCGCTTTGAGACGTCCAGAAGACATGAAAAGCGCTATATCAAGTGCAAGAATTATTATTATTATTATTATTTTGCGGGCGAAATACGTCAGGGCACATGAGCTAAAGGACCCCATGATCGCTCATCTTGCCTTACACCAGGGTCTTGCTCGGGGTGGGTGGGTGGGGGGGGTGGATTTTGGTGCCCAAGGCCCTCTGCCTTGCAGAGAGACTGCTGCCAGATCCAGATGGTAGACGGACAGTAGCCTCCAGGAACTGGCCAGCAATTGCAACAAGGCCAAGTGGCTGTCTCCCCATCTGGCATTTA